AAACTTTTTCCGCATCCCTGAAAAATGTTTAATTATTTTTACGTTCCGCTGTGTATCGAGGAAGGCCACCGAGCCGGCGGAATAGGGGACGCATCTATATAATGGCCCCCCGATATTTCATTCAAAAAAAAAAATAAAAAATGTGTGTCCGAACTGAGAGAAACGACTATCATATATTTATATTCTCCGCGGAATGGCATTGTTTCAGTTGCAGACAAAAAATTCGATGTGATTTTTAAATTTAATGAAACAAAACGGTCCCATCAAATATGCAAAATATCGTATATAGTATAGGTATGGGCCCTGCCACGCATTTTTTCCTGGCTCTTGTATAATTTTTAAAAAACGATCTCGTTTCATAAGGCTTTTTTTTTCGAGTTGTTTTGCTGCTGCTGCGCTGGACGATTCCCAAAACGAACCTTTTATATTAACATTTTACTGTTACAGTAATTGCTGACATAAATTTTGAACGAGCCGCTCATACATCAATCTGCAGGGCTAGTTTTTTTTCTTTGCGCTGCAACTAGCATCAAGGATTTTTTTTTAATATCCGAGGGAACGATATTCCAAAATGTACAGCACCAAGTGTTGCAATTTATAGACTTTGCCTGATATTTTTGCAAACTATTGACTCAATAATTTCCCATCCGCTACTATCGAATCGAGACATTCTACCTCACCCCCATCATAATTCGGCATGATCCCTATCCCCATTATAATTCGAAGCATTCTCTGGCTAATACATGCAGTACATTTATTACATTAGTATAGGCTTCGTGTACGTCTATTTCACATTCGCTTCTACCCCCCCGAACCAGTTCGGTGGCTACAGATAACTCGTTGTGGGGGCGTCGAGCCACCCTTGGGGCGCTTTTACCCCTTTCTGTCTCTCCACGTATGTGTGTGTATGCATGTATCTTTGCTTCCCGCCCAACATTTGCGGTATACAGCATTTGATGTCATTGCATTGTTTAAAGTGCTGACAGATTTGGGCCAGTTTAATATTTCTTACTAACAAATAAAAACAAATCGCTTAAGTGTTGTGTATACTTCGTGGCGACCTTGCAATTTTGATGAGCCACTAACACGTAATGAGGCTCGATTTATTTGACAGGTTCATAGACCCCCGGAGGTTCCGATAATCTTACTACAAATTCTTGTGTAGATAAATCGGCGATTCGTTTTTTTTTATGAGGTGGATCAAATGATAAGATCTTATGCGTTGTATTATGCAAGAAGGGAAGGTGAAAATCGAGGTGAAAATTATGGCATACCTAATAATACATCACCTTGTTTATTAAATTATAATAGCGTGTCGACAGACTGCGCAGGTGTCTTTCTTTACCTACAGCCATGGTGAGATCAGATTATTTTTTTTATATGCATAATAATGTTTTATTTATTAATGTATTAGGTATTCGAGCTTGCTTTGGGAAACAGCAGAACCGTACTAGAGTGTAGTTGAGATTTCCGGAACATAATACTTCGTGCAATTAGGCACTAGCTGACGTCACACACATGATCTCACTTTCGATGTTAGGACAAACAAAACGTTCAAGGACTATTTACACATATCAGATAGGCTGAAGACACAACGTCAAATGCAAGGTACAAGATACACAATACCAAAAAATCGAAATTTTGTATCGTGGCATGGCAAGTAAATTGTATCCTGTATCCATTTATTCTGAGTTATATAGTGAAATTAATTAAACAGTGTATGCACGTGATCAAAATTAATGACATAAGCACGTCGCAATGTTGCCGCTATTAACTTTCGTTTTACTTTGACATACCATGTCTAGTAAAATTTGTTATCATTAAAAGCAAACAAACATCGATTTTGTTATGTATAGATAGTGTATTATCAACACAATCTAACAAAACTACTCACTTTTCGTCGTAAATTTGATTGCGAATAGAGCTAACATCAAGGTGATCTTGATTCGTAACCCGCTTCTCATGTGGACGTTTTTTCTTTGGTGAATTTAACGCTAAATTATCCCTAACTTTTTGAGAGATTTTACTCACAGTGGTTATAGCAATATTCAGTGCAGCTGCAAGACGCTGGAAAAATATTCCCAATTAAAGCCCCAAAAGATTTATATTTGATAGTATCAATTTACTTCACCTCTCTTACGCTATTTAATGGCAAAAAGGGGCCCCTATTATCTCGTTCCTGTTCAAAGAAACTTATTAGAGACGCAACGAGTTTCTGACTCTGACTATTCAATGACTTTGGAATTTTATTGATACACAAATAGATATTATTTCAAATTATTAAAATCAGTAACCCCAGATTTGCAGCAATATTTGGCAACATAACCCATGAGTGCCAACGTGAATGTCATTTTATCGGCCGATTCGGTTGAATGCCAACATTGATCTGTCTTCTTTTAACTAAGGTTAAATAAAAAGGAGAATGAGCTCTCAGCTTGAAACGAATTTTAATTTCTTACAAACTGCAATTGGCAATAATTTTGACGTCATTGATCACGTGCATACACTATTTAAATAATTTCACTATAGCATTGATACACGTGTAACGTGTTATTATATTTTCGTCTCTTGTCACTTGTACCTTGTACCTGTCATTGTGTCTTCAGTCTTAGGCAAGGAACAAACCACCTAGGAATTCTTTGTCAAAAAATGTGGAGAATTTAATGGAATTTGTGGGGAATTTGAAGGAACTCATCGGAATTTATGAGAATTTGGGGAATTTATAGGGAATTTGCAGGAATTTATGGGGAATTTGGGAGAATTTGTGAGGAATTTATGAGGAATTCAAAGGAAATTTTAAGGTCATGACGTCACTGAGGTTCACATTCTTATCATAAAAAATAGTATTAAATGGAAATTTAAAAAAAAAAATCTAGTTTTGTGTTGGACGTTGGATATTCATTTTTATTAAATGAATCCTCCCAAAATTACACTTCATGATTTACAGGGCTAAATTTTAAAAATTCAAAAGAATAATGAATACAGTTTTTGTAGGCTGATTTCCAAGATTTTTCATGTTGTTATTTTCCACGGAAAAAATTTTAAATTTTGGAAAAATGAGCTTCTCACCTTCCTCTTTACATGCAAAAAGTTTCAAAACTTTTCCTCCAGTAGATTTCCAGGAAAACTTTGAAATGTGTGAGACTGTATTTTCAATTAATTTAGTTATTGTAGGTTGATTTTCAATATTCCTCATGTTGTTATTTTCCACTGGAAAAATTTTAAATTTTGCGAAAATGAGTCTTCAACCTTTCACATGCAAAAAGTTTCAAATTTTTGCCTTCACTGTTTTCCAGGAAAACTTTGAAATGTGTGAGACTGTATTTCCAGCAATTCAGTTTTTGTAGGTTTATTTCCAAGATATTTCATGTTGCTGTTTTCCACTGGAAAAATTTGAAATTTTGGGAAAATGATCTTCTCACCTTCCTTTTTACATGCAAAAAGTTTCAAAATTTTCCCTCCTCTAGTTTTCCAGGAAAACTTTGAAATATGTGAGATTGTATTTTCAATTAATTCAGTTATTGTAGGTTCATTTCCAAGATTCCTCATGTTGTAATTTTCTACTGGAAAAATTTGAAATTCTGGGAAAATGAGCTTCTAACCTTTCTCTTTACATGTAAAAACTTTCAAAATTTTCCCTTCACTAGTTCTTCAGGAAAACTTTGAAATATGTGAGACTGTATTTTCAATTAATTCAGTTATTGTGAGTTGATTTCCAAGATTCCTCATGTTGTAATTTTCTACTGGAAAAATTTGAAATTCTGGGAGAATGAGCTTCTAACCTTTCTCTTTACATACAAAAAGTTTCAAAATTTTCCCTTCACTAGTTTTTCAGGAAAACTTTGAAATATGTGAGACTGTATTTCAATTAATTCAGTTATTGTAGCTTGATTTTCAATATTCCTCATGTTGTTATTTTCCACTAAAAAAATTTTAAATTTTGCGAAAATGAGTCTTCAACCTTCCTACTCTTCACATGCAAAAAGTTTCAAATTTTTGCCTTCACTAGTTTTCCAGGAAAACTTTGAAATGTGTGAGACTGTATTTTTAATTAATTCAGTTATTGTAGGTTGATTTCCAAGATTCCTCATGTTGTTATTTTCTACTGGAAAAATTTGGATTGAATTGAATGATTGGATAATTGAAAAACATAATAAAAGTGAACATTTATTAGTTAGTTCTGACATTGTTTCAGAAGATCGGATAAACTTTAAAAGCGCATTGATTATGATTTCAGAAGAGGTTCAAAATCTCGTTAAAAATGCCCCTGAGTGCAAAGGAACTTCAAGCTATTTGAAGTTGATACAAGTTTATCTGTATCCAAGTCCGAGTATGTATCCTAGCATTATATTATGGAAAAAAAGGCTGAACGTTGAAAAAAGAGTTTACTTATTTCCAAATTATTGAAAAAGGAATTAGACTACTCAGCTTGACTATGCTGAGGTTCAGATTAAATTTATTGTTTATGGTCTTGTAAACCTGTTTAACTTTTAGGAGACATTTGTGGCGTATTTGGAGAAATTTCTGGTGGGGTATTTGGAGGAATTGGTAATGTGGTATCTGGAGGAATTTGCAGGAATTTTGAGGAATTATGCGTAAAAAATTCCCCTTCGAGGAATTGTTTGCACAAATTCTGGGATGGTGGTTTACCCCTTGTTCTTAGGCGAGGACCATTATGTCACAAATAACATAACGTCACTTTCGATAGAGGGACAAACATGTCACATTAATTCTGAACCAACAATTTCTCTGTCCCCCCATCGATAGTGAAGTTATGTGTGTGACGTCAACTAGTGCCTTATTCTTCTAGTTTTTATCACATCAAAAACCTGCCAAAGAAAAAGTTGGGGGATCTTTACAAATTCTATTGGTTGCCGACCTTGAGATTTCTACATTTTTTAGTAGGTGAGGTGAGGAGTACACAAACCCTTAACTCGCTTTTCATTCGATTCACTTCACACATTATTTTTCTTCTGCTGCTTCAGCAATACAAAAGTTGTCTAATGGTAGAACAACCCAATTTTTGCATAATTGATGTCGTTAACAGCATCTTTATGCTTCACATTCTCGACATTTTCATCGTCGTCCGATTCAGCATTTGCAACATTGCTTCTCAGTGTGTCTTTGATAATCTCTGCTTCAGTTAAATCAGAATCTTTTCCTCTCATCACAACCCATTCAGTGATAATTTCCCTGTTCAAATTTTTCTCTATGAATGATCTTTTAGGTAGGTATTCATTATTTTTTTTTGCAAATCCTCCTCATTTATAGGACAAAGTTTCTTTGTAAGATCGGAGTGATGTGAATATGTGAATTCTTTTGCAGTGTCCAATTCTCTCAATATAAGATTATATTTTTAACTATACTCTGTATTTATTATGGTTAGTTCATTAAATCCAGACTGGTATGGGACTGCCAACAACTCCTCAAGCAACTGGCGTTTCGAAATAGAGTCACCATGTCATGGGTACCAGGGCACCAAGGAATCGAGGGGAATGAAAAAGCGGATCAGCTTGCAAGACAAGGAGCTGCAACACCATTCGTTGGACTAAAACCTTTCTTGGGTATTAGGAAAAGGCATATAATAGGGGAAGTCTAAAATTGGGTAAAGGCTCAATAAGTCTCCCGGTGGAACACGCTTTCAGGAGTTAGACAGGCAAAAAAAAATCATCTCGCCCCAGTCAACAAAGGCAAAGGGAATGATTGACCTTAGTAAAGTGGATTTAAGGCTGCTTACAGGCCTCTTTACTGCCCTTCGGACAAGATAGACCAAAGAGAATTAGACGTATGCCACTTCTGTGAAGAAGCCTTTGAGTCAACTGTGGATGTGAAAGAGGTCAATCCCAGGAACATTATAGGTTTTACCAAAAGCCTTAATCTGGGAAACCACTAGATATAAGGGAGAGCAAAATAGATCTAATCAGGTCGCGCAGTGCGGAGAGGTCCATAACTTAACCACACCGACCATCATAATCTACAATCAACAATCTACAATAATTAGTTCATGGGAGTGCCTGCATACATATAACAAGAAAAATTAACGAAATATTGATAAGACTGCAAGCAGATTATAATAGTTGTTGAAATCTTTCACCTGCGCCAGTATAATTTACAAAAATACGCCTCAAAAAACCCGAAAACCCATTGTTTGGCGAAGGGATGGCTAATAAGAGTAGCTCAAGCCTTTCGGGTGGGTTCTCTCAAAGAGGTTTGTTGGGTCACTCTGTAAGGTTTAAGGGATAGGTACAAATTTGGTGGGTTTTTGGCTCTTCATTTCAAAAGCTGACTGAGGCAGCATACAAAAATACTCGAAACATACTATACAAATTATTTCAGTTAGATATTACGGCACTCCTTTCCGTGGTCGATTCTATTATATGATAATAAAGCTAATTACGCGAAATATAAACATATATAATTTGTAATTATTTTATTACTTTTAACAATAACACCAGCACTATCGTGTTTACATGTTTTTTAATAATATCCATAATTACTCTTACAGCGCGATATTTTTTATAATGGCGTTAAATGAGCTTCAGATCTGACCGAGATAACTGGATATTAAGAAATGTATTAAGCCGTGTGTTACAAATTAAAGATGTATTATTTTAATTGGGGCTTCACGCATGAGGTGGAACTTTAATACCATTGAAAAAATGGTATTAAAGTTACAGCTTCATCACAAGATTGGCATACTCGAGGTGCAACTTTTTAAACAAAATCGAGTTGATAGAGAGAGAGAGTAGCGAGCGTTCAAGGGCCAATTAGAATCACTCTCCCTTGCAGCGTGAAAATCTTGTTTCGACGCATCGCGACACGGAAATGTGGAACGAAAAAAATAAAAAATCACACACCCGCACTCGATATGCGAGTTCGCGGATCAATATATGGACGACTAAACGCATGCAAAATAAAAACAGAGCCCTTGTTTCGGTATAAGGTGAGGAGAGAAGGGTGGTTACCCTTAACGTCGCGTATACGACCCTATCGTGTAGGTTTGAGTGACGAACGCTTCACCCCTTTGTTTGCACCCCTACTTTTTCGGTGGCTCCTGTGTTTTGATGAGATCAGCAATTTGGTCTACTTTGTTGTTGAAAGATTTGATTATAATAATAATGGTACGGAAGGGTCAAGTTTTATACTAAGAACAATATGAACATATTAAAGTTTTACTCATTAATGATGTCTTATAACAATTCAAGATAATTGCCATCGACCCAATCTTCCTTGTCTCATCCAACAAATGACTTTGGAAGACAACAAAGCGATTGACATGCCGTTAAGATTTATCATAAATATGGTAGCATACTAAATGGGGAACTTAGGTATGATGTAGTAGTAAATATACTCTCAAGTTATTGAACAAGAACAGCTTATTAATAAGCGTATCAAAGTGATGAGTGATACTAACTCGTCTAATTCACTTAATTTTTGAGTCAGTATTTTACGTGAACAGTTCATTAACGAGTAAAATGCTGCGGGACGAGCGCAGCGCAGCTTTTTACAGTATTACTTATTTCTGAACCACTCAACCCAAAGTGAATTAGAGGCGTGAGTCTCATTCATTACTCTGATATACTTATTAATAACCTGTTCGAAAACTTAAGATTGTATTTACCTTATTAGTTCAAAAACTCATTCATTTTCAAATCAGATTCGTACTTGGACGACTCATTAATGGGCTAATTGCTGCTCAGTGGTTCAGAAATGAGTAGAACTTTGCGCGACAAGCTCAGCGAGTTTCGCAGCATTTTACTCAATAATAAACTAATAATAAACTTTTCAAGTTAAATACTGACTCATGAATGAGTAGTTCAGAAATAAGTGGAACTCGCTGCGATCGTCCCACAGCATTTTACTTATTAATAGGCTATTCATCGTTGACATGTGCCAAACGGTCAAAACGGTCCCTGCTCGGGCGCCAAATTTGTAGCGTTGCTTTGGTTCTTATTAATAAGCTGTTCAAGTAAAATACTGACTCAAAAATAAGTGTACCTCCGTCTCTTTTCGCTGTATTAAAGCTGAATATGTTTATCTCAAAAAAATTAAGCAAAAGCATTTGCTTCTGTTTAATTCATATGAGCCAATTACTTTGATACACTTATTAATAAACTGATCAATAACTTAAGAGTGTATTTAACTCATTAGTTCAAAAACTGTACGGTACCGGTCAGACCTACGGGCGTCGCCAAAACAAACGGCTTCTCGGTAGAAACGGGGATGGATGATGACGTAATCACCTCGGTCATGAGCTGACATCGTTGACATGTGCAAAACGGTCCCTGCTCGGGTGCCAAATTTTGTAGCGCTGCTTTGGTTCTTAGAGTCCGCGTCAAGAAAAAAAAAATACGATAAGGCACGGAAAGCTGCGCGAGGCCGGACGGATCTCCATCCCGTAAAACAATGAAAAACATGCTTGGCGTTCGGCAACTGCACCGATCTATACGATAGTTCGGCTAGTCTTCAAAATTGGGTTTATGCGCATTTGACGTCACCGTACTCTTTACTCTTGACGCGGACTCTATTAATAAGCTGTTCAAGTGAACTACTGACTGAAAAATAAGTGAATTAGAGGAGTGAGTCTCACTCATTACTTCGATACACTTATTAATAAACTGATCAATAACTTAAGAGTGTATTTAACTCACTAATTCAAAAACTGTACGGTACCGGTCAGACCCACGGTTATCGCTAAAACAAACGGCCTCTGGGTAGAAACGGGAACTGATGATGACGTTATTACCTCGGTCATAAGCTGACATCGTTGACATGTGCAAAACGGTCCCTGCTCGGACGCCAAATTTGTAGCGCTGCATTGGTTTTCTGTATGCTCAAGGGTTTTTCGGAAAACTCGGGCGCCAGCCTTCGGATTATAGTGGTTAAGGGCCCACATGCTCCAGGTATTTTGTTACAGTGAAGACGGAAAACCAGAGGTCAATATCCGCATTCTCAAAATTAAACACACAATCCAACTAACAAATTAAAATTTTTATTTGGCCAATAAGATATAAGGAACAGTGAAAATGCTTTTCAAATCAGAATCGTACTTGGACGGCTCATTGATGAGTTAATTGCATATGCATATGTGGTCCATCTCGATTGTAGTTGCGCTACTCATTTGCTCACAATCATAAGTGTCGTTCTTCTTCTGATTTCTTCATTTGTTACTCTATCTCGTAAACTGTTGGCTACAGATCATTAACAAATACAAACCCAAAAATGTCTAGAAACATTTAAATAGCCGCCAAAATGGAATAGATTTGTCTACAGAAATAAGTCCAGACAACAGAGCAGATTTCATCTCTATTTTCCAACTTCTCCATAGGAAATTGTGCACTATTTTGAGTTATTAACCGCCTTTTCACCAAACAAAAAGAATCGTGTCTCCTCCGCCGTAGGTTTCTCAATCAGAAGAAAATCAAAACAATGTATTAAAGCGATTCTTAAATGAAACATGACCAGACCGGTTGGATGGAAATGAACCGAAGACCTCGGAAGCTGAGTTAGTAAAGCGTTAGTGCGGCTAGATCAATCGTTTGTTAAGTCTTTGCTTGAGGCAGGTAAAGGCGCTGTCCTACGGACATAAGTAGTAGGAACGCGCCATACTGCTTATGAAACTAAAGTGAAGCCAAGTTTTTCGCAGTTTGGCACCAAAATACAGGTAAAGCATTGAATTGCCTATGCCGCCATTTTTTTGGTGCCAGAATACCTGGAAAAAACGGCTTCATTTTCCAACTCCATGTTACTACTACTACTCCTCTTTACCTTTACCTGCTCTAAGAGTCTTTGTTAGTTAACAAAAAGCTTAGATTGTGTCAATGTCAATGTCAATTTGATATTCTTTTTGTGTGGCACAATCTGATGTTGTTGACTAACAAGGACTTAACGTTTGAGCTACCGCCCTCATAGACTGGTAAGTTAGAGGCTCAAAGCCTAGGTGGTGATCTCTATAAATATTCTTAAAAATATCTAAAATAACCAGAGGGGTTCGAATAGGACGGTAGTTCGCTATGGTTATATGTTCCTTTACTTTCTAACAATTCACCTTAAAAAACCTGAAATATCTTGTAAATAGATCTATTTATACCTGGTGTACAGGGTGGCCCATTTTCGATGTTTTAATAGGCTATATCAAAAACCAGCAGAGATATCAAAAATCTGGGAGCACATTCTCGAGCTCTTTTTTTAAGAAAATAACAATGGC